CATTAGGCATATGTTTACTGTAGAGGAGGCTATACATAAGTCATATATTTACGGTACAGGAGGCAATACATTGGTCATATTTAAACTGTACAGGTGACAATACATTAGTCATATGTTTACGGCGCAGGTGACAATACATTGGTCATATTTAAACTGTACAGGTGACAATACATCAATTATATGTTTCGTTACAAGAGACAATTCATTAGTCATAAGTTCACGGTACAGGAGACAATACATTAGTCATGTGTTTACAGTACAGGATACATTACATTAATCATTAGTGTATGGTACAGGTTACAATACATTATTCATATGTTTACAATACAGGAGACAATTCATAAGTGATATGTTTACGGTACAGGAGAAAATGCGTTAGTCATATGTAAACTGTACAGGAGGCAATACATTGGTCATATTTATACTGTACGGGTGACAATACATTAAAATATGTGTACTGTACAGAAGACAATTCATTTGTCATAATTATGTTTACTGTACAGGAGACAATTCATTAGTCATATGTTTACAGTACAGGAGACAATACATTAATCATACGTTTACAGTACAGGTGACAATGCATTTATCATATAATTTACTGTACAGGTTACAATTCATTAGTCATATGTTTAAAGTACAGGAGACAATACGTAAGTCATCTGTTTACTGTACAGGAGATAATGCATTAGTCATATGTTTACTGTACAGGGGACAATACATTTATCATATGTTTACGGTACATGTTAGAATACATTTATCATATGTTTACGGTACAGGTTAGAATACATAAGTCATATGTTTACGGTACAGGAGACAATACATTATTCATATGTTTACTGTAAAGGAGACAATTCATTAGTCATATGTTTACTGTCAAGGAGATAATATATTAGTCATATGTTAACTGTACAGGAGACAATACATTAGTCATATGTTTACTGTAAAGGAGACAATACATTAGTCATATGTTTACTGTAAAGGAGACAATTCATTAGTCATATGATTACTGCACAGGGGACAATTCATTAGTTATATGTAAACTGTACAGGAGACAATATATTAAATATGTTTACTGCACAGGAAGCAATACATTGTTCATATGTTTACGGTACAGAAGAAAAGTCATTAGTCATATGTTTACTGTACAGGAGACAATGCGTTAGTCGTATGTAAACTGTGCAGGCGACAATACATTAGTGATATGTAAAGTGTACAGGAGGCATAACATTAGTCATATGTTTACGGTTCAGGAGACAATTCATTAGTCATGTGTTTACGGTACAGTAGACAATTCATTCGTCATATGTTTACGGTACATGAGACAATACATTAGTCATATGTTTACTGTACAGGAGAGAATACATAAGTCATATGTTTACGGTACATGAGACAATACATTAGTCATAATTATGTTTACTGTACAGGAGACAATACATAAGTCATATGTTTACTGTACAGGAGAGAATACATTTATCATATGTATACTGTACAGGGGACAATTCATTAGTCATATGTTTACAGTACAGGAGACAATACAGAAGTAATATGTTTACTGTACAGGAGACAATTCATTAGTCATATGTTTACGGTGCAGGAGACAGTACATTGGTCATATGTTTAGGGCGCAGGTGACAATACATTTATCAGATGTTTACAGTACAGGTGAAAATATATTTATCATATGTTTACAGTACAGGTTACAATACATAAGTAATATGCTTACTGTACAGGAGACATTAGATCAGTCATATGTTTACGGTACAGGTGACAATTCATTAGTCATGTGTATACTGCACAGGAGACAATACACCAGTTATATGTTTATGGTACAGGAGACAATGCATCAGTCATATCTTTATGGTACAGGTGACAATACATTGGTCATATTTATACTGTACAGGTGACAATACATTTATCATATGGTTACGGTACAGGTTACAATACATTAGTCATATGTTTACTGTACAGGAGACAATACACTAGTCATATGTTTGCTGAAAAGGAGACAATACATTAGTCATATGTCTACTGTACAGGAGACAATACATTAATCATATGTTTACGATACAGGGGACAATGTATTAGTCATATGTTTCGGTACAGGAGACAATACATTAGTCATATGTTTACTCAACAGGAGACAATACATTAGTCATATGTTTACTGCACAGGAAACAATACATTGGTCATATGTTTACGGTACAGGAGACAATTCATTTGTCATATGTTAACTGTACAGGAGACAATGTGTTAGTCGTATGTGAACTGTACAGGAGACAATACATTAGTGATATCTTTACGGTAGAGGAGACAATACATTAGTCATATGTTTACTGTAAAGGAGACAATACATTAGTCATATGTTTACTTTACAGGAGACAATACATTAGTCATATGTTTACTGTAAAGGAGACAATACATTGGTCATATGTTACTGTCTAGGAGACAATACATTGGTCATATGTTTACGGTACAGGAGACAATTCATTAGTCATATGATTACTGTACAGGGGACAATTCATTAGTTATATATAAACTGTACAGGAGACAATGCGTTGGTCGTATGTGAACTGTACAGGAGACAATACATTATCGATATCTTTACGGTAGAGGAGACAATACATTAGTCATATGTGTACTGTACAGAAGACAATTCATTTGTCATAACTATGTTAACTGTACAGGAGACAATTCATTTGTCATATGTTTACGGTACAGGATACAATACATAAGCCATATGTTTATAGTACAGGAGACAATACACTAATAATATGTTCACAGTACAGGTGACAATACATTTATCATAAGTTTACGGTACAGGTTACAATACATTAATCATATGTTTACGGTTCAGGAGACAATGCATAAGTCATATGTTTACGCTACAGGAGACAATACATTAGTAATATGTTTATGGTACAGGAGACAATACATTAATCAAATGTGTATGAACAATATGCCAGCTCACAGACACCCGTAAAACAATATGTGCTTAAGATAACAGTTTGGACGGTATTTCGGTATCGGAGTTGATTAGGCGTATTTGGAAGGACTTTGTATGCAGAAGCAGTATACATATTTACGATCAGTAACCATGTCCTGTCCACTATGTTGATAGAGGACGAGGACCTGTGACAGTCGCAAATCTAATACCCTAGCAGTTTCTAGGTGTTATTTTATGTAAGAAAATGTATTTTTTTCAAGTTGACTATTTCATCCGCTTGATGTATTTGATTGGGAATTTACCGAAAAGTCTTTAATCTGTGTGAATGACCTGAAACCGAGAAACGAAGGAATGTTGGAGGAAAGTATCGATTGACCTAGACTTCACTTGTCTTGGGGTACATAAGGAATCAACAGAGCCCCGGCAACATGTGTTCTGGTTGTGAGAGGCGAATTAGTGGCTCGGTGACTTGGCTGATAGCATTTCATCGTACTACGACGGCATGTCGCTGCTCACAACATCAATACACTCATTGTTTGGTCCAGGTTATCATTTACAGGCCGCCGTCATATAGCTTGCATATAGCTCACTGCTGTATTAGACCAGAAACAAACGTAGAGAAGAGTTATGATGCATATGTGTAGATTATGCATATGTGTAGATTATATATATATATATATATATATATATATATATATATATATATATTAATATGTATTTTAACTCTAAATCATCCTGGCAATCGATAGCTAAAAGATGAAAAAAAAATATTAAAAAATAAAAAATATACATGTTTTTGGGTCTCCTTAATTTTCATACATACAGATTCAGCCTTAGGGAGACCAGCTAATATATATATAAACTGACGTCTTGAGGTGGTCGATGCTGTGCAGAAATGGTCCATTTTGTTCATTCACACTTCAGAATTTATACAGAGCACACAACACAAGGGAGCATGAATCTAGCTGATTTCAAGATTAATGTTGTTTTAATCAAGAACCTCTTGTTAATCGGTAACTGTTCCCTACATGTGGATTCCAGGGTAGAATAATATTAGTTTTCTGATCGGACATTACATTGACTAAATTTTCAGGAGTTTCCTGCGAAGTGGAAGCATAAAAAAACACACCTAACTCCTTCAAACGATATTTGTTTGTCAAACTCATTCATGGAGAATGACACCAACTGACCTTCGTGAAATATAACACCGTGCTCGTGGGTTTCACCAACACGCTGATCGCCTTCAGTCTGCATCACTTCGGGCTTTCCTCCCACATTAAGCTGACACGCCGTGATATAAGTGGAATACTGTTACAAGCCGCTTAAAACACAACTTACTCCCGCTTATTAAAAGTAACAATGTCTTCACGTGCTTTTACTGTTGTTAATACGGCTTAATTTTGGTATTTGGATATAGGCTGAATTATATTTGAAATATTGTTTTTTGAAAAGATCATCAGTCAAATTTTACAGGGGATAGATACTCATTGTTTTGTTATCATGTTTCCATGGGAGCGGTAAACATACCCGATATCAAGCGTTACGGTGGACAATGACAGTCTGACGAACCGCATTCACGAGAAAGGGGTGTTGAATACAAATATTCAGTTTTGAAAGGACTTTTGACGACTTCGAAGCAGTGAAATAATACTAATTAGAACAAAATACATGCTGAAAAGACCGACAGGATGTGATGCTACGTAGATGACTCATTCTAACTTTATACTTATTGACTAAAGTCCCCCAATTTAAAAAAATGAAACAGTCCATAGCACCATTTAAAAAGGACGGGCGCAGTCCAAGTATCGAAAAGGGGAAAACAGGAGGGCGAGCACTAAGGACAATTTGTTACAAAGGTATGTTGTTTCTGTACATCGCTTATCAGCTGACATTGTCTTGGTACTATTGTGAAGAGTGTTGGTTAAACCGAATTCCTTTTAGCTTTGGGGAAAAGACCGACCGGATGTAGTGTTACGTAGATGGCCAGCACACTGACTCATACAAACTTTATACTTATTGACCAAAGTCCCCCATTTAATAAATGAAACAGTCCAAGCACCATTATAAATACGGACCTCCGTCTCAAAGCGTTGAAAAGGAGAAAGACAGATAGACGAACACAGAGGACAATTAGTTTCACAGGTTTGTTGGTTATTGAACATCCCTTATCAGCTGACAAAGCTGTTGTGCTATTATACAGCAGGGTGTTGGTTAAAACGAAGTAAACCACGTTTATAACGAACACGCTTATAACGAACTGAAGGATATGACGAACTTATTTTTTTGTCCTGACCATTTGCTGGACATATGCTGTATATGCTTATAACGAACTACGGTTATAACGATAAAATTAATGGTCCCTTTGAGTTAGTTATAACCGTATTTACTGTACTGTCAGCGTTAGGGAGAGACATTTAATTTGTAAGCAAGGATTTATTAAGGTATTGTTAATGTATTCTTTTGTTTTAACATCACATATAACATTGAAGCGGTACAAAGTGTGCGGTACATGATCAAGAAAATGTATTTACCATAAATCAGACACTTTACCCGAGTTGAATCTAAGTTCCGTGTTTTGTTTTAACAGGACTACTTTCAATTAAGAACTGACAATGCGAGCCATGATTCCGCTGTTGGTGGTGATAGTCGGTGTCATGGTGGTGACGACTCAAAGTGATAGTCCAGGTAAGGGCGGTGTGATGTAGCTAGATGGTGCATAATACCCTTGACTTCATATGTAAAACGCAGATTCAGGTGAGGGCGGTGTGGTGTACACCATTCTCATATCTGTCTTTTTTATATAACTATTGTTTGTTTTCTTGTATGCCCAAAATAACATACGACCAAATTTACCTGAAACAATTATGAAGAAATAGGAGCTCTATTTTGAAGAATAGAACGGTATCAGTTGTATTTTACGCCACTTTGAACATTATTTCAATGACATCAGTTTCGGTGGAGCCCGAAGAGATGCAGGTTTTTTACCACTTTGGTGCTTTGGTGCACCGTTCTCAAAAATCGTTGGAATAGCGCAGGTTGCCCAGGCTCTGTGATGTCACCTTGACAACGAGATGTGTTCATGTTATCAACCACTGGTTTACTTCTCCCCCGATGTCGTGGTTCACACTATCGACCATCTGTTTACTTGTTTGAGGATTACACATTTCACAACATGAATTTCTTCTATTCTAGGTACAACACCACTGCCAACAAAACCGACAACAGTAAGTATATTGCTGGAGCTATTAAAAAACCCCATACCTTTCACTCATCATATGTTTATCCGGAAATGTGCTGATTCCGGCAGTTTCAGTGGGTCTGTATCGTACAGTGTACGTTTTAATAGGGTTCCAATATGTCTTGGCAGGATCGGTTCACTGATGATTTTCTTTTCGACAATGGCTTTATATGAGAGAACTTAAAATACCCACTGAAGGTGAGGTGAAATAAGGTTTAACGTCGCGTCCAGGATTACTGCGTGTAAGTGTGTGCGTGCGTGCGTGCGTGCGTGCGTGCATGCGTGTGTGTGTGTGTGCGTGTGTGTGTGTGTGTGTGGGGGGGCTGTTTGTACTAGTCCGGACTGATGCCCAATTTATAGCGCCAGCTAACTGAGATACTGATATGTCGCAGTTTAACAGGAATACCCCACTAAGTCACAGTACACTGACCAGTCCTTGTTTTAACCCCTTAATAGCAAATACAATCTTTTAACGTCTTTTGGTATGACGCGGTCGGGGATCGAGCCCGCGGTACTTCCGCTTTCCGGGCGGACGCTTTAGACAAAGTTAGTCTGTTATAACATAGCGTCATAGCAATTAGACTAAAAAGTTTTAAAAGCTATCCCTTGATATGTTTTTTCTTTCCTTAGATGTTGTATGTGAAATGAAAAGTAGTTTTAAATATAGATATTGACTGGGTATGAAATGAATGCAGAAATTCGCCTTTGGTAAAATGTACATAACAGTTAATTAATGGCACATTAGTTGTTGAGTGAGTTTTGTATGTAAGTTTTTACAGCTGCGTTGGACAACATAAGTCAGTTATAACATAGTCGTCATGGCACATAAGACTAGTGTGATTAATGCTCCCTCCAATATCATCAAATTATCGCTATGTCGTCATTTTGGGCATAGTTGTGTTACAATTATTCTGACCATAATGTGGAAGAATCTATCCATTTCATAACGGCTGAACATTTACAAAGTTAACTGTCGAAAATCCCTCAACGTTAGCTGAAGTTCCCGACTCAAAACCAATGTGCAGTGTTTCATTTTGAAAACTCGTTCTATATATACACGCTGTTATTTTTTGTTATTATAACGATTTGCTTACTAAGAGATCCTGGCCAAAAAAGATCGTAAGTTGCATTCTGATGCCTATTTTCTAAAATGATTACATACTTCTTATTTGAACGTAAGGTCCCTATCATTAAATTCATTAACACGTGGACGTGTATGTTACATATAAGCAAGGCATAAACCATGTCCTACGCATTTCCCCAATATAGGTACAAGAATCTGTACGTTCGTCATGGATGAATAGATGTGGGGATTGCAGGAACGACGAGATCATAAGCATTCGACGCTAGTTTTAAAAGTCGATTGAAGATGTCCGGGTGGTGATGCTCTGTGACTTGACTGATCACGTGTCTGCACATCCTGACGGTGTGGATCGTTGCTCATGCTTTCAGTCACTGGTTTATCTGATCCAGGATCGTTAATGTACTGGCTTTTGTGATGTAGCTGGAACATTGCAGGCTGCGGCGATAAACGACATTCATTCCATCGACTTCACGCGTATTGGATGTATGCACAGATTGTTTATTTTTGCTGATGTATCGTCATTTTTAAAAGCTATCCCTTGATATGTTTTTTTCTTTCCTTCAGCCAACACAGCCAACAGTAAATGGAAATGTGAGTGTATATCCGAGTTCAACTTCCAACTGGTTTGTTTAGATGTTGTATGTGAAATGAAAAGTAGTTTTAAATATAGATATTGACTGGGTATGAAATGAATGCAGAAATTCGCCTTTGGTAAACTGTACATAATAGTTAATTGATGGCACATTAGTTGTTGAGTGAGTTTTGTATGTGAGTTTTTACCGCCGCGTTGGACAACATAAGTCAGTTATAACATAGCGTCATGGCACATTAGACTAGTGTGATTACACTCCCTCCAATATCATCAAATTATCGTTATGTCGTCATTTTGGGCATAGTTGTGTTACAATTATTCTGACCATAATGTGGAAGAATCTATCCATTTCATAACGGCTGAACATTTACAAAGTTAACTGTCGAAAATCCCTCAACGTTAGCTGAAGTTCCCGACTCAAAACCAATGTGCAGTGTCTCATTTTGAAAACTCGTTCTATATATACACGCTGTTATTTTTTGTTATTATAACGATTTGCTTACTGAAAGATCCTGGCCAAAAAAGATCGTAAATTGCATTCAGTTGCCTATTTTCTAAAATGATTACATACTTGTTATTTGCATCATTACATACATTAACACGTGGACGTGTATGTTACATATAAGCAAGGCATGAACAATGTCCTACCCATTTCCTCAATATAGGTACAAGAATCTGTACGTTCGTCATGGATGAATGGATGTGAGCGTTGAGGGAAAGACGAGATCATAAGTATTCGACGCTAGTTTTAAACGTCGATTGAAGATGTCCGGGTGGTGATGCTCTGTAACTGGGCTGATCTCATGTCTGCACATCCTGATTGCGTGGATCGTTGCTCATGCTTTCAGTCACTGGTTTGTCTGATCCAGGATCGTTTATGTAGAGGCTGTCGTGATGTAGCTTGAACATTGCAGGCTGCGGCGATAAACGACATTCATTCCATCGACTTCACGCGTATTGGATGTATGCACAGATTGTTTATTTTTGCTAATGTATCGTCAGTTTTAAAAGCTATCCCTTGATATGTTTTGTCTTTCCTTCAGCCAACACAGCCAAAAGTAAATGGAAATGTGAGTGTATATCCGAGTTCAACTTCCAACTGGTTTGTTTAGATGTTGTATGTGAAATGAAAAGTAGTTTTAAATATAGATATTGACTGGGTATGAAATGAATGCAGAAATTCGCCTTTGGTAAACTGTACATAATAGTTAATTGATGGCACATTAGTTGTTGAGTGAGTTTTGTATGTGAGTTTTTACCGCCGCGTTGGACAACATAAGTCAGTTATAACATAGCGTCATGGCACATTAGACTAGTGTGATTACACTCCTTCCAATATCATCAAATTATCGCTATGTCGTCATTTTGGGCATAGTTGTGTTACAATTATTCTGACCATAATGTGGAAGAATCTATCCATTTCATAACGGCTGAACATTTACAAAGTTAACTGTCGAAAATCCCTCAACGTTAGCTGAAGTTCCCGACTCAAAACCAATGTGCAGTGTTTCATTTTGAAAACTCGTTCTATATATACACGCTGTTATTTTTTGTTATAATAACGATTTGCTTACTTAGAGATCATGGCCAAAAAAGATCGTAAGTTGCATTCTGATGCCTATTTTCTAAAATGATTACATACTTCTTATTTGAACGTAAGGTCCCTATCATTAAATTCATTAACACATGGACGTGTATGTTACATATAAGCAAGGCATGAACCATGTCCTACGCATTTCCTCAAGAATCTGTACGTTCGTCATGGATGAATGGATGTGGGGATTGCAGGAACGACGAGATCATAAGTATTCGACGCTAGTTTTAAACGTCGATTGAAGATGTCCGGGTGGTAATGCTCTGTGACTTGGCTGATCACGTGTCTGCACATCCTGATGGCGTGGATCGTTGCTCATGCTTTCAGTCACTGGTTTATCTGATCCAGGATCGTTTATGTACTGGCTTTTGTGATGTAGCTGGAACATTGCAGGCTGCGGCGATAAACGACATTCATTCCATCGACTTCACGCGTATTGGATGTATGCACAGATTGTTTATTTTTGCTGATGTATCGTCATTTTTAAAAGCTATCCCTTGATATGTTTTTTCTTTCCTTCAGCCAACACAGCCAACAATAAATGGAAGTGTGAGTGTATATCCGAGTTTAACTTCTAACTGGTTTGTTCAGATGTTGTATGTGAAATGAAAAGTAGTGTTAAATAAAGATATTGACTGGGTACGAAATGAATGCAGAAATTCGCCTTGGGAAAACTGTACATTTTAGTTAATTGATGGCACATTAGTTGTTGAGTGAGTTTTGTAAGTGAGGACAACATGATTCAGTTATATCATAGCGTCATGGCACATTAGACTAGTGTGATTAATGCTCCCTCCAATATCAAATTATCGCTATGTCGTCATGTTGGGCATAGTTGTTTTACAATTACTATGACCATAATGTGGAAGAATCTATCCATTTCAAAACGGCTGAACATTTACAAAGTTAACTGTCGAAAATCCCTCAACGTTAGCTGAAGTTCCCGACTCAAAACCAATGTGCAGTGTTTCATTTTGAAAACTCATTCTATATATACATGCTGTTATTTTTTGTTATTATTACAATTTGCTTACTGAGAGATCCTGGCCAAAAAAGATCGTAAGTTGCATTCTATTGCCTATTTTCTAAAATGAGTACATTATTCTTATTTGAACGTAAGGTCCCTATCATTACATACCTAACACATGGACGTGTATGTTACATATAAGAAAGGCATGAACCATGTCCTACGCATTTCCCCAATATAGGTACAAGAATCTGTACGTTCGTCATGGATGAATGGATGTGGGGATTGCAGGAACGACGAGATCATAAGCATTCGACGCTAGTTTTAAAAGTCGATTGAAGATGTCCGGGTGGTGATGCTCTGTAACTGGGCTGATCTCATGTCTGCACATCCTGATTGCGTGGATCGTTGCTCATGCTTTCAGTCACTGGTTTGTCTGATCCAGGATCGTTTATGTAGAGGCTGTCGTGATGTAGCTTGAACATTGCAGGCTGCGGCGATAAACGACATTCATTCCATCGACTTCACGCGTATTGGATGTATGCACAGATTGTTTATTTTTGCTGATGTATCGTCACTTTAAAAGCTATCCCTTGATATGTTTTTTCTTTCCTTCAGCCAACACAGCCAAAAGTAAATGGAAATGTGAGTGTATATCCGAGTTTAACTTCTAACTGGTTTGTTTAGATGTTATATGTGAAATGAAAAGTAGTTTTTAAATATAGATATTGACTGGGTATGAACTGAATGCAGAAATTCGCCTTGGGAAAACTGTACAGAATAGTTAATTGATGGCACATTAGTTGTTGAGTGAGTTTTGTATGTGAGGACAACATAAGTCAGTTATATCATAGCGTCACGGCACATTAGACTAGCATGAATAATACTTCCCCCAATATCATCAAATTATCGCTATGTCGTCATTTTGGGCATAGTTGGGTTACGATTATTCTGACCATAATGTGGAAGAATCTATCCATTTCATAACGGCTGAACATTTACAAAGTTAACTGTCGAAAATCCCTCAACGTTAGCTGAAGTTCCCGACTCAAAACCAATGTGCAGTGTTTCATTTTGAAAACTCGTTCTATATATACACGCTGTTATTTTTTGTTATTATTACAATTTGCTTACTGAGAGATCCTGGCCAAAAAAGATCGTAAGTTGCATTCTATTGCCTATTTTCTAAAATGAGTACATACTTCTTATTTGAACGTAAGGTCCCTATCATTACATACCTAACACATGGACGTGTATGTTACATATAAGAAAGGCATGAACCATGTCCTACGCATTTCCCCAATATAGGTACAAGAATCTGTACGTTCGTCATGTATGAATGGATGTGGGGATTGCAGGAACGACGAGATCATAAGCATTCGACGCTAGTTTTAAAAGTCGATTGAAGATGTCCGGGTGGTGATGCTCTGTGACTTGACTGATCACGTGTCTGCACATCCTGACGGTGTGGATCGTTGCTCATGCTTTCAGTCACTGGTTTATCTGATCCAGGATCGTTAATGTACTGGCTTTTGTGATGTAGCTGGAACATTGCAGGCTGCGGCGATAAACGACATTCATTCCATCGACTTCACGCGTATTGGATGTATGCACAGATTGTTTATTTTTGCTGATGTATCGTCACTTTAAAAGCTATCCCTTGATATGTTTTTTCTTTCCTTCAGCCAACACAGCCAACAGAAAATGGAAATGTGAGTGTATATCCGAGTTTAACTTCCAACTGGTTTGTTTAGATGTTATATGTGAAATGAAAAGTAGTTTTAAATATAGATATTGACTGGGTATGAAATGAATGCAGAAATTCGCCTTTGGTAAACTGTACAGAATAGTTAATTGATGGCACATTAGTTGTTGAGTGAGTTTTGTATGTGAGTTTTTACAGCCGCGTTGGACAACACAAGTCAGTTATAACATAGCGTCACGGCACATTAGACTAATGTGATTAATGCTCCCTCCAATATCATCAAATTACGAGCGCACAAAGAGTTTATTTTGTATGCCTTCAACATGAAATAGTATGCAATAATCCCCAACATTGAATCGAACCAACATTAAAGATATATTAGTGCTTAGATTGTGTTCGGGTAGAATACATGACAACACGAAAACTGTTCCACGACATTGTGTAATATGTGTGACGTTTATTTTCAGGTGTCTACACAACCACACAACGTAAGTACATGTTAATATATTTAGTGATGCTCCACGTTGTCCTTCGAGACTGTATTCATGTATAAATAGAAAATATTGTTTTCTGATAACTAGGAGCTTATTCAGAGTCAAAGGGTGGTTAGGTGGTCGGATGGATGGATGGACAGATGGATGGGTTGATGGACGATGGATGAATGGGCGGGTGGATGAATGGACGGTTGAAGAGATGGGCGGATGAGTTGATGGATGGATGGATGATGAATGGATGGATGGATGGATGGATGGATGGATGGATGGCGGGGTATGGATGGGCGGAGTTGCTTGATGGATGAGCAGGTGAAGGAATGGGTTGATGAAGGGATGGGATGGATAGATGATGGATGGGCGGATGGATGGATGGAAAGAAGATGGATGCGTGGATTGATGGATGGGTTGATGGATGGACTTGCGGGTCAATGGATGAGTGGTTAGATGGATCATGGACGTCTCTATGAGCCTTAGAATGCTACTGATCCAGTGACGGCGTCAGTAATGTCACAGACTTTGGGCATAGGTAGTGTGGAATCTTCTTATATATTCTCATGATGTCACAAAATACAGATTATTAGAATTTGAAAAGAATAATATGATCTATATTTTTCACGTTTCAGAACACTGCCAGCGCCATGACGTCATCGACTTTCGGGATAGTTCTCTCCGTTGTGGGCGTGGCCACCGTTAGACAAGTGCTCTAGACCGTCCTCCTGACCAACGTCAACTGTCTAAGGATTGGAACGTATCAGAAATGTAAAAACCTCACTTCGACGCTGAATTTATTTAAGTGACATTTTGCTACCTTGAGTTTCTTATTTACATATTTACTCTCAGAATAATAACATGTCTATGTACATGACTTTGAACGATGCAATTTTCCTCGAGGGTGTAGTTTTGGCAATAAAGGTATTTTCCTTGTGACATCACCCCTGGTAAATTGACGTCAAACTGTCTCCATTTTCTACCTATTTCCATACCTTCCTATTCTAAATTGTACATGATTAAGAATTCCAACGAAGCCGTTGCTACTTGTCTCCCCACTAAGACAAACTACCACGTGTTTTGTACAGTGAGTTTATAAGTAGCCGTTCTGTGGCAATGACTTGGGTTCGCGTGATCACATGGTGAAATGTAGGGATTGATAGACTGCAGTTTTTGATTTTACCGTTGTATCTGAAATGATCTACTAATAAAAAGATATCTCAGATCTGTAAAATAATCGTTTTGTAATACATTTGAGGAAGTGAGTGAGTTGGGTTTAACGCAACGTTGCATATTTCTTTCAGTTGTATGATGGCGTACATGTTGAAGTGTGTTGATTGTTTGTTGTTTAACACCACACTCAGCAATATTCCTTGAATATGACTGCGGCCTGTAAATAATTGAAACTGGACCGCACACACCGGTGATTGATATTATTAGCAAAGTTCAAACCGTCGGTGTACGCTGACACACTGTCAACCAAGTGACCAAGCCTGTTTATCAGGCCTATTAAATCGGGGGCGGTCGGGTAGCCTAGTGGTTAAAGCGTTCGCTCGTCACGCCGACGACCCGGGTTCGAATCCCGACATGGGTACAATGTGTGAAGCCTATTTCTGGTGTCCCCCGCCGTGATATTGCTGGAATATTGCTAAAAGCGGCGTAAAACCATACTCACTCACTATTAAGTCGCCTCTGACGACCTGCATAGGTTGCCGGGGACTAGGGCCAACTGTGAGGTTTAACAGTCACACAGGTCCCTCAGATGTCCCGGATTCGATGTTGCCAATATGGGTACTTAGCAATATTTTCAGCTGTATGACGACGGTCTGTAAATAATCGAGTTAATCCAGTGATTTATATCATGAACATCGATCCACGCAATCGGGATCGATGACATGCATGAACCTAGTCAGTGAGCCTGACGAACCGATCCCGTTAGTATAGTCGCATAGTCGCCTTTTACGGCAAGCATGGGTTGTTGAAGACCTATTCTGCCCCGGATCTTCACAGGTCGGTTGAGCGATGATGTTACTCAATCAAACGTTAACAATGCCACAAGAGAGGATCATTAAAACCCACAAAGCGACCGTTGCCCTTCGACTGTCGCAAGCTTATGTTAGAGAAGGCAGGTAAGACCGTCATAGTTTTGTGGAACATGGCTCGGGGTTCTGTTGCTCTACGACTATCGTAACTTCCATATTTTAACAAAGACCCTTGTGAGTGTGAACATACGTGTCTAAATTAGTGTATTACTACAAGTAAAACACTTCAGCTACGAAGCATGTGGGAGCAATATGATAACGAACTGTGAATGTGTACATCTTCTACACTTTATGTTCTATCTGTATCCAGACATGCCCCGATTCTCTCTGATTACGAACTGATGGCATCATACCCGTGCTCTGCGTAAAACTGTCTTTCCGGCACATTGCGATGACACGCCGTGATATAAGTGAATTACTGTTCAAAGCTGCGTTAAATCCAACTCACTCACTTAATAACTGGGGCGGTCGGGCAGCCTAGTGGTTCAAGCTTTTGCTCGCCACGCCGAAGACCCGGGTTCGATTCCCGACATGGGTACAATGTGTGAAGCCCATTTCTAGTGTCCCCCGCCGTGATATTGCTGGAATATTGCTACAAGCGGCGTAAAACCATACTCACGCACTCACTAAATAACTTCGGAGGTAATCGACAGTACATCTGACATGTTCTCGTTGTCTGCAACGTGATTGAACCTGTTGTACCTGCTAATGCAGAACAGACCAGGAGACGGATAAATGCAACAACACCGGTCCCTCGATAAGACATAAGCACTGTATTGAGTAAGGGGCGTAAAGACAAGCTGGCCGATCCTAAAGGGTTCTAAAGTATTGCTCGGGAGATCTGAGAAGACCTCATGTCACAGCTGATAAGATCTTGAAAAAAGGGTATTTTATACTTGCTTTGTCACAGTGTACTGTATGAGGGTCCCGATGGGTTTCAATGCTTAACGTAAAACACCCTTCAAACACTATCGTAAACGTAAAATTCATCTTTTTTATCGTAAATGCTTATCGTAAAATACCAAAAAATAACTGCTTAACGTAAATAAATAATTTACTGCTTATCGTAAAATGATTAAAATGGTAAAAAACAGTACTAGTCTGTCTTCAAAGTCCAAATGCTTCGCCACAGAAAGCAGGCTGCGAAACTGACGCAGGGGACCAGTCTAGAATGTTTAGCGATTTGAGATTTTACACGGTATTAAAAATATGAATTGTCAGGATGAAACGAAAGCAGAATTAAAATCCCATGTCCCGCCATGGCCGATTTAGTAGTTTTCGCGACGATTTTATTGAAAAAGAAGAAAAATTACTGTTCAATGAAAAAATACCCTAAATTTTACGGCTTACTGCTTATGGGACCGCCCCACAGACAGTAAGTGAGTATGATTTTACGCCGCTTTTAGCAATATACCAGCAATATCTCTGAATATCACAGAAATGAGCTTCACAATTGTTTCCTTGTATGGTATATGGGCGTGACACGCGAACCATCAGGCTACACAAGGAGCACACAAAGCTAAACCAGATAGTGACTGTTTCGCAGCCCCGAGTAGTGTGTCCAAGATGCCATTTGTTAGTGACGACAGAAAACATCTAAGTGAGGTTGGGTTTAACGCCGCTTGTAACAGTATTCCAGTTATATCCCGGCGTCTCAGCTTAATGTGGGTGGAGCTCGAAGTGATGCAGGTCTCAGACGTTTACCACATCGGTGAAACCCACCAGCACGGGTATGGTGCTGACAAACCTAGAAACATAATCGGGGCAAACCAGGATACGAACCCATAATCATAGGTTTCTGGCGTGCACAAGGGACGCAACTCTGCACAGCGAATCGCGGCGCCTTAGGCGACTGGGCCTCCTCTGCCGAAAACATCTAAGAGATTTGGAATGAAGGGACATGTTTTAAGTATTCGCAATACGTGCATGAATAACATGAACAATTAAGCATTCATACATACAGATTGCAAACTGACAGATGATAAATCATCTTTATAGCCTCCAAGTGATGAAGATACATTGATATGAGATATTACGCTATTCTACAAATATATATATATATATATATATATATATATATATATACATATATATAATATATATATATATATATATATATATATAACAGGTGATATATTGAATGTACAGGCAGTTTCACATCGTTATCATATATTGTTTCTTAGTAGTTTTTTTCACATTTTAACAGTTTTACATACAAGGAGCATTATATTTGTTCATACGTTGTATTCAATTGCCATAGTACTTTCTGTTGGCAAACCGCCAAGTAAAAAAGGACAGAAAGGTGTCGTCATTATCGTTCCAGATGTTTTAAAAGGTTGTCACATCTAGAATATTTTCTTTGTTGAGTCTTTTTACAATTCATAAATATATGTTTGATAATATCAAAAGCAAATGTGCCGCATTAACATTCATCAGATTGTTTACTGTAGGTGCTAAGATATAATACATATGCTAAATCACGCTATTTATATTTTTAAAACAAACGACACGTAAAAAAAATGGTCATATTCAGCACAGAAGACGAAAACAACAATTGTTTGACCTCCATTCGTCATTATGAACCAATGAACGCATCACCTATAACATCTACAAAACGGATTCCACAATAAATATAAACTCTGAAACATTCAGTTGGGCGTAAAAAGCATAACAAAGGTGACTAAAGTGTAAATAATAGATAATTTGGAAGTTACTCGTTTCTGATCATTCTCAAATCACAATAAGCCCTCTATGATTAAAACAGCTGGTCGCATTAAAGCGGAAGCTGATATTCATAGAAAAGTATTTTTTTAGTCATTGTTGGTAGGCATATTTAAATAAGTATATCTACAGTTACAGGTTATAAAATGCAAAGCTGCATTTACTACAATATTTAAAGGATGTGTGGCAATACATTTCGTGTAGAAAACATGATAGAAATCTTTAAGGAGAATGTATTTTCATGTTTTAGGGACAACAGAGACCTTGGAATTTGGCGCTTTTCTGTATAGACTGTGACTGTGAAAATGACGTCACAATGGTGACGAACAATGTGGAGCGAAACTACTGCGAAATTCAATGCTGGCAATAGGGGTTGGGCCGGTGATGCTGGCAGTAGGGGTTGGGCTGGTGATGCTGGCAGTAGGGGTTGGGCTGGTGATGCTGGCAGTAGGGGTTGGGTTGGTGATGCTGGCAGTAGGGGTTGGGCCGGTGATGCTGGCAGTAGGGGTTGGGCTGGTGATGCTGGCAGTAGGGGTTGGGCTGGTGATGCTGGCAGTAGGGGTTGGGTTGGTGATGCTGGCAGTAGGGGTTGGGCCGGTGATGCTGGCAGTAGGGGTTGGGCTGGTGATGCTGGCAGTAGGGGTTGGGCCGGTGATGCTGGCAGTAGGGGTTGGGCTCTTGATGCTGGCAGTAGGGGTTGGGCTGGTGATGCTGGCAGTAGGGGTTGGGCCGGTGATGCTGGCAGTAGGGGTTGGGCCGGCGATGCTGGCAGTAGGGGTTGGGCCGGTGATGCTGGCAGTAGGGGTTGGGCCGGTGATGCTGGCAGTAGGGGTTGGGCTCTTTATGCTGGCAGTAGGGGTTGGGCCGGTGATGCTGGCGGCAAGGCTTGGGCTGGTGATGCTGGCAGTAGGGGTTGGGCCGGTGATGCTGGCGGCAAGGCTTGGGCTGGTGATGCTGGCAGTAGGGGTTGGGCTTGTGATGCTGGCAGTAGGGGTTGGGCTCTTTATGCTGGCAGTAGGGGTTGGGCCGGTGATGCTGGCGGCAAGGCTTGGGCTGGTGATCCTGGCAGTAGGGCTTGGACCGGTTATACTGGCGGCAAGGGTTGGGTCGGTGACGCTGGCGGCAAGGTTTGGGTCGGTGACGCTGGGTGAAGGGTGAAGCATGTAGTTGGGATTGGGTCAGTGTTAGCGACAGTTTAGGTCTGTGATGGCAACAGGAGAGATTGCACAGCTGCCGCTGTTTAGGTTAATTTACAGAGCTCGGGTCTTCGGCTATTAACTTAGCAACAGAAAACATCAACAGCCTCCCGCATATCTGTTCGCTTTCATCTTTCCTTACGATGTTAATGAGATTTTATATCCGCTTCTGTGAGGCACGTGACAAACTGCCGACAGAGGGCGCTTCGGTCTTATAGGTAGTCATTCGGCTCACATTGATAATCTGTCGCGTCCAGTTCACAAGTCCTTGTGACATTATGAAGCTCTGACAGTGAAGTGGCTCCGAATCCCAATGCTTATCATCTTCCCGAGGCAAGGGAGTTAACTGACTGTAAAAGTCCAGTTTCCACCCTCGCCGAACTGGGCTGGAATTCCTGGTCTTGATCAGTGACTATTACGAGTTATGTCCCTTTTATGTCGTTCCTGTTGACCAGTCATAGTCCGCCTCTCATATCACATGCATTAGCTGCAAACAAAATGACGGCACACAGTCAAGAAGATCTGATCGATACTTAGATATATTATTGTAATAAAGCTTCGGTAAGTGTATCAAATCACGTGAGAACCTTGATTAAAAGCAAGAAAGGATTTGGAAAATATCTGCTGACGCCGGGTTGATGATATACATTCTTTACAAATCCCGGAATCGACCGAAGTGTACGAACTGGATGTCGATTTCGTTACACGATATTGATTGGACTATGCATAGACTCGTTAGTCCACCCAACGTGTAACACTGTAATTCCAGCCTTGCTCGTCAAGGGTTCAAACTGGACTAATTCAATTAACTCCCTTGCCTCGGGGAGGTGAAAAATATCTTCATGACCTTCACCCAGAGTCGATGGCCTACTGGTTAATGCGATCGATCGTTCCGCCAAAAGCCCGGGTTTTTCGAATATCCCACATGGGTAGAATGTGTGAAGCCCATTCCTGGTCATTCCAGGCATTGAGAGAATAAAGTTTTCCGCAAAGTCAGATAAGATGCTATGTCAAGGTGGCATTGTATTAGCTGAAGGCCTATTAACGAATTGACTCTTGTGCAATCTCATATCTATAGATCTGTATGTTCAACTTATCAGCATTTGGCTTACCCTTGCGAGCAGACAATTCAGAATACAGTCCATGACGATCTCTAACTCTATTATATCTGTAGACCCATGATGTTAGCTAACGACTGGGTTAGAATCAATCAACTACGCACAGCCTCCTATTGGGGTTTATCATACATGTATCTTCATGTAAAAAACACAAATGCACATTGTCATTTGGCGTCTGCGATTTCAAGAGGAAAAAAGTGAAAGCAAATGCTAACAATTTGTTCGAAGCTGAAATGAAAGTTGTTTGATATCGTATTCAATGTTCGTGCTGGGCTATGCGTTATCAATTGATTTCCATGTTTGTATAAACTGCTAAATATACTGAACAATAAAGGCTCCTGTGACACTGAATAAGATTTAATGCAAAGTTATGTTTTTTACCAAATGTGAAACAATTTCGGTTTGCAAAAGATAAAAGACTCCTATCAGTGTTTAAATGGTTTAAGTTGCTACACTGACTTCAGAAAAAGCGTTATTTCATAAAGAAACATGAACATGCCAAAATGTCAATTTACAAATCAATAGCGTGTGTGTCCACCTCTGGTTGCGATGCAAGCAACACATCTTCGTCTCATGGAATGGACCAGGCTTCGCACAAAGTCCTGTGGGATATATGTCTATATCTGCTGGAGCACGTTTCGAAGTTCCTGGAGTGTCTGTGGAACACGTACTAGACGTCGAAGGCGCCGATCCATCTCATCCCACATGTGCTCGATTGGTGAGAGATCAGGGGAGCGAGCCGGCCACGGGATGACATTCACGTTGTTTTGTTGAAGAGAATCCTTAACAAGTCGAGCAATATGTGGCCGGGCGTTGTCATGTTTAAAGGTAAGGCCTGGGCCATGACGACGCAAAAACGGTAGAACAGGGCCGATGATCTCGTCGCGGTAGCGCTGTCAATTGAGATTTCCCTCTACCACTATCAAACGGGTCCTCTGTCTTGCTGTAATCCCACCCCATACCAAAACGCTGCCGCCCCCGAACCGATCTTCTTCTATGACACAATCATTGACGTAACGTTCACCTCGACGTCGGTCTACTCGAATCCGTCCATCGCTGTGGCTGTGGTGAAAACGAGACTCGTCAGTGAATAGAACTTGTCCCCACTGCATGGCCGTCCAGCGTAGACGCTGTCTGCACTGTAGACGTGCTTGACGGTGGTTTCCTGTACAAATGGGATGTCTGGCGCGTCTTCTGGCGACAATCCCTGCACATCTGAGGTGACAACGTACGGTTTGTGAAGATATTCGTCGAAGGCAAGGGATGCTTCTTGCAGTCACTGTTGCTGGCTGGAATCGATTTCGTAGGTGTGTTGTTCGAATTCAGTTGTCTTGTCGCTCCGAGGATGGTCTTTGACTGCATTCGTCTGTTGCCAACGTTGCCATAAACACCAAATGGTGTTTCTGTGGACGTTAAATTGTCTTCCAACAGCACGTTGACTCGATCCTGCTTCAAGCATACCAATGGCTCGCAGACGCTCATTTCCGGACAGGCGTGGCATTTTGTAATGTTGAATAATTGCGTAATTTTGTTTTTCTGAGTGGTTGTTGTCAGCACGATGCTAAACAATGCATATAGAATCCCGTTAACGCACAGGTTTTTATACCAATTCTTTTGTAGTAAAATGCATATATATATATATATGTGTGTAAGTGCATGTATATATGTGTGTAAGTGGATGTATATATGTGTATAAGTGCAGGTATACTAGTATTTGTGTGTAAGTGCATGTATACATCTGTGTAAGTGCATGTCTATATTTGTGTAAGTGCACGTATATATGTGTGTGTAAGTGTATATATATATGTGTGTAAGTGCATGTATATATGTGTGTAAGTGCATGTATATATGTGTGTAAGTGCATGTATATGTGTGTGTAAGTGCATGTATATGTGTGTAAGTGCATGTATATATGTGTGTAAGTGCATGTATATATGTGTGTAAAGTGCATGTATACTAGTATTTGTGTGTAAGTGCATGTATACTAGTATTTGTGTGTAAGTACATGTATACATATGTGTAAGTGCATGTGTATATGTGTGTAAGTGCACGTATATGTGTGTGTAAGTGCATGTATACATGGGTGTAAGTGCACGTATATGTGTGTGTAAGTGCATGTATATATGGGTGTAAGTGCATGTATATATGTGTGTAAGTACGTGTATATGTGTGTGTAAGTGACGCAAAATTCGACGTCAAAGTTCGAGAACATGAAGCAAAAAATGTCAAGCCCAAAACATACACTTATACTTGTGACATACTCTCTTTCGATTTCTATGGCGTTTTCCAATAAACATGTACTATAACACACACTTGGAAGATTCTAGGAACCGCACTGATTCCAGGAGGTCGGCATTGTATAAGTAACATTTGCTGGTATGATTCTTGGAAACTGATTTCAGGTAATGTTTGATGATTAATACACCGCAGGGTAAAAGAAAGTATATACTTGAAAATTGGATTTACCCTGCAAATACAAATCCCGCAGAAAACAGTGCAAACTCAAAGTCTAAAACACAACTATGACATCAAATATATCACCATTGAATAACCATTTCTTGTATGGGCACTGCACCAGGAAACAATACATTAGTCATATTGTTGCGGTACATGTATATAATGTATTATAAGTATGGGTACTGTACAGGAGACAATACATTAGTCATATTGGTGCGGTACATGTATATAACGTAGTATAAGTATGGGTACTGTACAGGAGACAATACATTAGTCATATTGGTGCGGTACATGTATATAATGTATTATAAGTATGGGTACTGTACAGGAGACGATACATTAGTCATATTGGTGCGGTACATGTATATAACGTATTATAAGTATGGGTACTGTACAGGAGAAAATACATTAGTCATATTGGTGCGGTACATGTATATAACGTATTATAAGTATGGGTACTGTACAGGAGACAATACATTAGTCATATTGGTGCGGTACATGTATATAATGTATTATAAGTATGGGTACTGTACAGGAGACAATACATTAGTCATATTGGTGCGGTACATGTATATAACGTATTATAAGTATGGGTACTGTACAGGAGACAATACATTAGTCATATTGGTGGGGTACATGTATATAATGTATTATAAGTATGGGTACTGTACAGGAGACAATACATTAGTCATATTGGTGCGGTACATGTATATAACGTATTATAAGTATGGGTACTGTACAGGAGACAATACATTAGTCATATTGGTGCGGTACATGTATATAACGTATTATAAGTATGGGTACTGTACAGGAGACAATACATTAGTCATATTGGTGCGGTACATGTATATAATGTATTATAAGTATGGGTACTGTACAGGAGACAATACATTAGTCATATTGGTGCGGTACATGTATATAATATATTATAAGTATGGGTACTGTACAGGAGACAATACATTAGTCATATTGGTGCGGTACATGTATATAACGTATTATAAGTATGGGTACTGTACAGGAGACAATACATTAGTCATATTGTTGCGGTACATGTATATAATATATTACAAGTATGGGTACTGTACAGGAGACAATACATTAGTCATATTGGTGCGGTACATGTATATAATGTTTTATAAGTATGGGTACTGTACAGGAGACAATACATTAGTCACATTGGTGCGGTACATGTATATAATATATTACAAGTATGGGTACTGTACAGGAGACAATACATTAGTCATATTGTTGCGGTACATGTATATAATGTATTATAAGTGTGGTTGCTAAAAGGCTGGAAGAATCGGAACTAAGACGATCGGAATTAAGAGCACAACTCAAACTCGACTCTCAAGAAATTAAAACTCTCAAGGAAAGAGTTCAGGAGCTTGA